CCCGCCCGATCAGGGGACAGAGCGACCGCTAGTCTGGTGTTGTGCTACTTCTTCTACTTCATGTTGAATGAACTGAGTCACGTTGACGCTGTGGCGGGCAAGGTGATAAGATTTCACCGTCCTTTCTTCGGAGCCTTCTCTACTCTTTAGGGAAATAACGTAGAAACTGAAACCGCGCAATCATCATTAGATTCTATTTCTTCGTTCGACTCAAAAAGGTGGACCACATGTGTTGGTAAGGTTACAACAGGATCGACCTCTGAGATTTTTTAATAATCCTATTTCTCGGAAAACATAACAAGGTGTGCTAACTTGGCCGGGAGTGTGGTATGCTGTAAATTCCAGGCTTAAAACGCAGTGTGAGGGCAAGAAGAGAGGACGCTGATCTAATCTCTGACATAAAAAAGAGAGTAGTTCTACTTGTATTTTGTAAGGAACAAGAGGACTCCAACGTACTGACTGAAATCTGAAGTTCAAGTGAAGTGAAGAAGAATAAACTCGCTATTTGGATAGGCCTACAGGCTTGCGACTCAAAGGTGAGTTAGCCTATGTCATTTATTGTGACTGGGTCATTTGCATTCGTGGTTTGGACGTGGTCGTTACGCTTTCGAATACAATTTCAATTTGTGGAATTCTGGTAATTTAGGGTAGGCAACTCGATACGTTTTAAAAATTATTATTTTACTTCTGGGTTTGTTTGTTTCTTTGTTTGTTTGTTTTTTTCTTGAGGATGGTGGTGTTGTCAATAAAGTCTCCATCTTTGAAAGGCCATGGTAAAAAGCCACCAAATGTCTATACAAACATGTTTAGGGTGTCCCCCCCCCCCCCCTTACGCTCACACGTACATACACACCCCCATCTAATGAATGTAAACACTGCTCGGCTGCATAAAAGGTGTCTTTGGAGGAAAACGTAATTTTGAAAATATCTAACATCAAAATCGTGCAAGTTGCTTCTTTTTTTGGTATAGGATCAGAGGATCTTGATTAGACCTGTCTGATTTAACGTGTCTCCAATACAGTACATGGAATGATTCAGGGAACGTCTTTCTTGGTAATTGTGTAACAGAACAGTAAGTAACAAGGTGACGTATTAACGTAAATGAAAATAACAAAATAACAAGTTTATATAACAGTAAGTAACAAGGTTACGTGTTAATATAACAGTAAGTAACAAGGTTACTAGTTTATATAAAAGTAAGTAATGAAGTAACGTGTTTACATAACAGTAAGTAACAAAGTAACTAGTACATGTAACAGTAGCCTAAGTAACGAAGTAATCTGTTTACATAACAGCATGGAACAACGTAACTACTGTATGTAACAGCAAGTAACAAAGTAACATTTACATAACTGTAAGTAAAAAGGTACTGCGCTTATATTCTCGTGTAAGCAGCAAGGTATAACAGAAACCAAAAGCCATTTTCTTAGTGGGGGAATAGTTAGTGAACTTTAAACCTGTTCTTAATGTTCATGTGTGCTATATTGGTGACACAGTATTCACATAGGCGGTCATTAATTGACTTGTTAATGGATCCTTGAGCATAATTTGTTTTATTTGTTGGGGGACCGGAAAGGGGAGGGGGAGGGAAGAAATGTTTTTCGGAAGAGGATGGGGGAGTGTCTACGTATTTATTAATTGTCTCGGAAAAGGTTTGGTATTTTTCTTGGTGAATTATTTTTTTAAAAATCGTTTGTCTTGAGAGGGGGGGAGTAGGGGTAAAGGAGAGAGGCTGTCCACATCAGTCTTCGTTTGTCTGTCTGATGGAAGGAGGGAGGATGAAGGGGGGTGTCTTGGTGTGAGTGTTTGTTTCAGCATTGCCTCATTATAAATCGTGTCCCCCAAAAGACTTCGTCACACTGTTTCAACCAGATTCGTGTATTTCAAATAACAAAAGACGTTATAATAAAAGATTCACAGCTTCACTAGTTTACCTGTCAATACCTTTTCAAGAGACGACACTTTCTGGATTGTATGAGCCTTCTGCCCGCTTCTATCTGGATGTCATTTTGGTTTTTTTTGGTTAATTAATTAATTAATTTGTTTATTTATTTACTTAATTTGTTTATAATTAAAAGGTACCGTTTGTTATACTGTTATGTAGTCATTTTTGTTAAAATTTGTAACTTTATTCGTTTTCATTGTTTGTGTGTGTTTGGCTGGGGGGG